TAGAAAGAGGAAAAAGGGGTACAAAAATTAGAGGCTCTGGTAAACTTTACCCATTTAAAAGACATCATTATTTTGCCTAGGATTAAAATTAATTATAATAATTTGCTCTTGTCATGTGCCTTAACCTTTCTTTCTCCAAACACTTAGTTCACAGTTATGTTTGTCAAGTTGTTAAGGGTAATGATCCTATTTTGTCATCAAGGAGGCGGGAAAAAAGAACCATGTCCGAAATGAAACAGACGTTCTAAAAACTGCGGGAAGTTGGCTTTGTCAGATCACTGAATACATGATTTTTGACTTAGTATCCATACGACTGAAATAGAAAAAAGGCAGAGACTCCCGACTGTGGGTCTCTTTGTGGCTGCTTCTTCCAGTATATCTAAAGTCACTGATGCTGAGCGGATAAATGAGAGTCAAGTTAATTAATGAAAATGGTTGAAGTGATCAGTTCAAGCACATAGTTTGGTAGATTCACTACATAAATCTATGTAAACAGAGGCTGACGCAGGTTGCTGCTGTAGCCACTAAGCACTGGTCTTTTTAATCTGAATACAGGCATATCTGAATATTTGTGGTGGTGGGTGGGGTGGGTAGATGCATCTTGGTTAACAATTTCTGCATATCAAACCAAATGGAACATTTTTAAAAGTTCATTTTAAAAAACAGTAAAATGCGTAGCACTAAACATTTAGGAAAAATAATTTACTAGCTCAGAAATGTTCATGCTATATAAATACAGTAATGTTGACAAAGTAAGGTACCAAATTAAAAACCCAAACTTGAACAGTTATTGCATGAGGCAAGACTGTGAGCAAGAACAGGCAGGAGCCAAGAGCTTCCGTTAGAGGTATTTACCTGTGCTTTAGCATCTTGTCAGAGGCCTCCCACAGAAAGACTGGCCCAGGGCAAGGCAATTTCAGCCTCTCTGCTGTCAATCTTCCTTCATATCCCTTTCCTTTCTCATGTTCCTCTTCCCTTCCCTGATACTCTACTGGTGGCCAAGGAAATAAGAGGCAAACCTTAGAATCCTTCTTAGACCATGGCTCCTTTGGTCTTTAATTGTAAAGACAAATGTGAATTAGTTGCCCAGTGTTTCTAAAGTGTGCTGCCTGTACTATACAGAAAACTTAATTTTACCACCTTCCTACCTGGAGTCATCCTTCTCAACCCAACTCTCTTAGAAAAGTTATTTGAGTACAGGAAATAGAGAGATCCACAGATGTCCTCTGAAATGTTTTCATTTTTTTACATGCTAATCTGATATTTTATCTTTTTGTTATTTAAAACATTATGTTTAATGATCATATTATAATGAAATGTTTGGGACTTTTTTGTTGTTGACAGCCTTTGAGTTTACAGAAGTCATCAAGATATGAAAGACAATGAGAAAAAGAGAAAAGAGAGATTAATAGTGAAATAGTCATATGCGTGAATGAATGAGGGTAAACTAACAGAAAAGCAGAAAGACAAGTTCATAATTGTACACACTGAAAGTTAACTTTAAGTAAACCTATGTACAGAATTTAAAAAATTTTTACATTTAACTTAATAAAATTTTATATATTTATTGACTTCCCTCACCACTTCTGTCACTTGACCTATGTATAGAATTTTTTAAAATTCTATAACAATTATATATTTCAGAATACAATTTTAATGTATTACTATTAATTTTCAAAGATCTGTATATCTACATTTAAGAGGTCTCTGTAGAACATTCTTTTTGCTTCATTGCACACCTCCCAGTGTTTACACATGCACATTGAGTCTTGAATGATGTCTCATTAACTATTGATGGGTCCTGGTATTCTAGGGCTCCCCATTTTTAGCTCTGTGTATTCTTTACTAAATCAATGCAACTTTTGTAATAATAACAAAGACAAGCATTTGCACTCTTATTTAAAACACTGTGACTTGAAAATGTGTAGGCTGGGCATGGAGGCTCATGCCTGTAATTCCAGCTGTTTGGGAGGCCGAGGCGGGTGGATCACTTAAGGTGAGGAGTTCAAGACCAGTCTGGCCAACATGGTGAAACTATGTCTGTACAAAATAATACAAAAATTAGCTGGGCATGGTGGCAGGTGCCTGTAATCCTAGTACCAGGGAGGCTGAGGCAGGAGAATCACTAGAACCTGGGAAGCGGAGGGTGCAGTGACCCTAGATGGCGCCAGTGCACTCCAGCCTGGGTGACAGGGCGAGACTCAATCAAAAAAAAAAAAAAAAAAAAAAGAAAAAGAAAAAAAAAAAAAAAAAAACAAATCAGAAGGGTTATGTTGAAAATTAAGCTTCAGTTCCTAAGTTTCTATTAAATAGTTACACATTAAAATATACTAATACATAATAAGCACGTAATATTAAAAGCACAAAAATAGTTATATTTAAGAAGTCAATGTAACTATTGGCTATATAAGCCCCAAATGGAGTAAGCATACTTTAGATTTTAGTCACCACAGTTCCAAACTTTAAAGTTTAATTTAAAAAAATGCATACATCTATAAACACACACACACTCACACAAATTAAATATACATTAGAATGATGCAGAAAAACAATGTGATTGAAATGTCTATGAAATTTATTCATCTCAGAATTGAAACTTATCATCATTTAGTCTAAATAAACAGATGGGAACACAGACTCCTCAATTTTAGGATTTAGTTCACACAAAATCAGAATCATTGTGTTGACTGTGGTGAGTCAGGGATGAGGAAGATCTCAGCAACCTCTTGGATTCAGTGTCTATACTGGATCAAGTCAACATTTGCTTTGGAGAAATGAAGTTATTTGAACAAAACAAGTAAGAGATAAACGTTTTTTTCTCTTTGTCTCTCTCTCTCTCTCTCTTCTTTTTTGAGAAGGAGTCTCATTCTGTTGTCCAGGCTGGAGTGCAGTGGTGTTATCTCAGCTCACTGCAACCTTCACAAGAAATTCTCCTGCCTCAGCTTCCCCAGTAGCTGGGATAACAGGGGTCCGCCACCAGGCCCAGCTAATTTTTGTATTTTTAGTAGAGATAGGGTTTCACTATGTGGGCCAGGCTGGTCTTGAACTCCTGACTTAATGATCTATGATCTGCCCGCGTTGGCCTCCCAAAGTGCTACAATTACAGGTGTGCAAACAATGTTTTTATAAGTGCTCAAGTAGAATCATAGTACTGGTAATAGATTTACAGGCACTCTAGGAAAGGATGTTTTTGGAGCTGAAAGTTCTAAACTTTGCCTTGTTACCATTTATCATATAACTAAAAAAGTCATTAACCTCTGATCCTTAATATCTTCATTTGTACAATCAGAAAAATGACACTTGCTGTATTTATATTTCCTCATGCTTATAAACTTAAAATTACTACACTAGTACTATTACTATTAGCACTCTAATTACTAATTCCTTCTGTTATTATCATTAATAATACCAATGCTACCAGTAATTGAAGCTTTCTATGTGCCAAAGCTTTGTGAAGTACTTTTCATACCTTGTATCTATATCAAAACCTTCTCAATAGTCCTGTCAGGTAACTATGCTGATTTTCTTCTTACAGACATCTCAGAGTGATTAAATAACTTGCTAGACATCACACAGCTATTAAGAGCTTGCATGGAAATTTGTTCATTTTAGATCCATTTTATCTTGTTTTCTCTGATATATGTATATTCATACACAATGTCAACACATAATACATATTATCTCTATAACATAGATATATTATTCATTTTATATACACAGAAACATATACTTATGCTGTGAATTCTGAAATGCCATACCAAGGCTCTTGTTTTTTATTTTTACTTTATTTTATTTTTTTTTAATTTCAAAGCCTAATGCATAAAACAAAGTAGGTATTTAGTCAACATTTAGGAAAAATAATATAAGAGAGGTAACTAAGATAATTTTGATTGAACTGTTCATTAACAAGTGTGTCAGCAGTAACAGTGGCTAAACCCTCCTCATCTTCAAGATTATGTTATTAAAAATTACTCTAGAAGGCACATATTGCATGACACTACTTACATATAGAAGATTTTTTACAAAGTTAAATTCATAGCAACAGAGAGGAATGGTGGTTGCCAGAGGCTGGGGTGTCAGAGAAAAGAGGAGATACTGGTCAAAGGGTACAAACTTGCAGCTGTAAGAATAAATTCTGAGGACTCGTATACAGCATGGTGACTATAGTTAATAATACTGTACTATATACTTGAAATTAGAAATTTGCTAAGAGTTAGAACTTATGCATTCTCACACACACAAAAAAGGTAACTGTGAGATGATAAATCTGTTAATTAACTTAATTGTGCTAAACATTTCACTATGTATATGTATATTAGATCAGCACATATACTTTAAATATATAAAGTTTAATTTGTCAGTTATACCTCAATAAAGCTGGAAAAACTTATTCTATGAAACAAACATACCCGGATTTTTTTTCAATTGTTTGGGTTCAATTCTAGATACAAAGTTGACAATGATAGAGAAGCAGCTATTTTCAATAAACGAGCGCTGACATCTAACCCTATGGCCCAGGTAAAAGGAGGGAGAAAAGATTCATTTAAAAATCACATATGATTCCTACTTTTCAAAGGATGAACACATTATCTTTCAAATTTAAATCTAAAAAGCTATTCTATAATTTCCTGTCAAAACAAGATAACAATACTTGCCATATTTCCCTTGACTATATAATAATAATGATGATGATAATCAAATAGTGACATTCAAAAAGAATAAATTTTTTTTTTTGCAGAGTTAAGGAGAAGGGCAAGGGAGGTATTAGAAAAGATGCATAGAGGTCTTATATCTCATCAAAGCATGAATTTCCAACTCTTGCAAACACTCCATTCTCTGCCCTAATCTCCCAAAGAGCATCCAGCTGAATGAAAAGCTTCTGACATTTGTGCCAGTTCACAGCTAGAATGACATGGCTGGGGGACAGGAGACGCTGCAGTTTCCATTATCCATTGAACACCTTGGCAATTCTTATTTCATCCTGTGAATGTGATACTTACTCTTGTACTGCTCTGGCTATGGAAAGGGCCGTAGATCCAGTTTCATTAACGCTATCTAAGGTCACATTTGGCAGGTCATCATCATCACTGTCACTTTTACTTTGTCTGGGAGATAGGCCTCGGGGGTCCATTTGTGCTGGGGAAAAAAGGCATATATAATGAATTAAAATCAGTGCGCAGAAAGTTAACCTTGTCCTGGACCAACATCAAGCATGGAACTTCTCTTCTGTGCGTATCACGCAAATGGAATTCTCTAGACATCACAGGAATTAGTGACAGCTCCACGTTTTATGTTCTGAGTACTTAGTGATTCTTTTCACCTTCAATGGATTTATAATACCTACACCAGCTCTCAAGAGTTTCAGGGTATGACTATAGAGTAGAAACTATAAAATTCATAATATTACCAACTCCTGAGTGGTCAAAAGCTGGTTACATAGCTCCTGAGCTACCGTTCAACCCTCTGGTTTCTCCTCCTCCTTGCTTCTGCTGCCAGAGTTCTGGCCATTTCACTGACCATTAGCACTCTTCCTGGAAGGTAGAGAGCATGCGGTAAGGAGATATTAGTTGCTTACAGCTCTCCTAATAAGTTAAAAGAAGAACAGGGTTTGCATGACTAAAAGAAAGGATAGGTATTTTTCTTACTTCAGTGAATCACTGTCTCCAAGTTCTTTACTACTATAAGGTGGGATTTGAAGGCGTAAAAATGACAGAAGTGGTAGCATTTTAGATATCATGTTTCTCAGTGCTAGATAGTGCTCTTCAACTCCATCCTGATTTTATTTTTCAAAAAGGCATGTCCAGATATGATTCTCCTCCCACCGTGAATCTGCCAAAGCAAGAAACGGCACAATCTTCTGACCTCTGTTGACCAAGGCTATCAGATCCTTTCAAATGAGAGGATTACTGTTAACATACGTTAACACATATTTTTAAAAATTAGATTTCATTTCCATCTCCTTTTCCCTATGAACAGACTGAGCAACCGCTGCCCAGAATTTCTATCAGCCTTCACCTCAAGCACAAACTATACATACCTTTTCAATTAAAAGAAACGCATGAGCTACATATACAACCACACTGTTAAATCGTATGGCTGCCTAAGATTTCTAAAACCAGCACTGCTTGCCAGGGAAAGCAAAATGCAGGTGAAATCATGGTCACATTTGGGTACATTTTATAATTTCATTTTTTTTGTCTTAAATCACTCTTTTTGGCTACTGTGTATCATACATTATACAGAACCACATGGAATTGCTGAGAATGCACCATTTTTACCCATGAAATGGCAACTTCTGATGATTGTATTTGATATTTACAATCTGGCTAGAAAAACTATACCTATACAGTTTCAACATATTTCAACATATTGCTAACTACACGTGGTTAGGAAAGAACTTATATCTAGCGAACCTAGTGTGCACCAGTGTATTTGACATACATCCTGCCTATAAATATAAATATATCGAAGTGTGCTTCGCACAATGGAAGTGTTTGGTAAATATTAAATTTAAAAGAAAATAATTCAAATAATCTAAAGCAGTTGTCCTCAACCAAAAGCAAATTTGCCTCCCAAGAGACACCTGCCAATATCCAGAGACATTACTGTTTGTCACAACTGGGGGGGGGGGGTAGGGAGGGTGCCCCTGGCATCTAGTGGGCAGAGGCTAAGAATGTTGCTAGCCATTCCACCATGCACAGGACAGTCAGCCCCTCACAGCAAAGAGTGAACCAGTCCAAAATGGCAGCAGTACCCAGGCTGAGGAACTCATCTAGGGATTTAAGTATTTGGACATATAAAAGGTGTCACACTTTATGACTTTCAACTCCTACGTAACTATGCTCTCACTTCAACACTGCTAACAAGGAAATTGTCACACATCAGATTACCCATATTTTCGGGCCTTGCCTTAAAAATAAGTTCACTGTCACGTGACCCTGTACCTCTTCCAATGTCAGGAATTAGGCAGTAATATTTATTAAGAGATTTTGAATATTTTCTTTGAACCACGAGCTATGGGACAAAAAGATTATTTTCCATCTGCTCTCTGGAGGAGATCCACTAGAAGAGGGATATTAGAGAAACTGTGGGGCAAAGCAGCCAGTTCCATCACCATCTGATAACAGAGAGCTTGACTACTCAGTCACTCGAAGGGCACTTGAAGGAACCATATCAATTAAGATTAATTTTGGCTGTAGGCAACAGAAATTGGCACAGGCTAACATATAAAGGAATGTACTGGAAAGATAATGAGCAGCGCACAGAATGGAAGGTCAAAATGAACAACCAACGCTAAAGGAATGTAGGATCCAGGAATGACACAGTCATTTCAGCTAGGAATTCACAGATAGTTTCTTTTTGGGCAATCTTGTTGTAGAATAATTCATTTAACAGCCTTTTGCAACTATTCAAAGCCAGCCAAAAAAAAAAAATGAATATCAGATCTATCTAAGCTTCCAAATCACATATTGTGTGGTGTTTCATACACCTGTAAATGTCAACAATTTAACATTTTAAGTTGTTGAAACATCATGCGCTATGATGCCTTTGCCAAGATATAAAATTTGCAAATAGCCAAGAAAAAAGAAAATATTCTGATAGTCCCATTTTGTCCAAGACAACTAGAGCTCTTATTGTAAGTAACACAACTCAAGGAAGATAGAGGCAGTTAACCATGAGCAATCTGGCTCTGAAAGTTAAAGTCTGATTGTATGAAAGATTCCAAAACCTTGTGTGAGAGTTGTTACATGATCATCTAATTATGTTATGTTTATATCTTAATGAAAGTTTAAAATATGTTAAATATGATATCTTTTTGATGTACTTTTCAGGAGTATAATTGAGGATTTCTTTGCAATATTTTCAATAAATATTATGAAATACATCTGCTACCATCATGCTGCAAAACTCTTTTTACCCATACCTTCAGCCAAGCTGAGGAAGTAATTAGAAAGGCTTTTCAAAATCTGCATTGCTGATTAGGTCAGATGATTAGCTTATCTACATACTTGCATAATTCCACTCTATTTTTATTAAATGTAGAATAGGGACATCAACCCTAGTTAACCTCCATTAGTCTTTGAGCATCTCAGCCCATTTAGGAAGGACTGATTCTCTGTGGTGCCCATTTAGAGACAAAAGGAAGTTACCTGGACACCAGAAACAAAAAAATATCAACTTCTGTAAGTAGGAAAACAGGAGATGATCTATAAACACCTCAAAAGAATTTACACTTTAGATTTTACTGCTTTCTAATGAAAAAGGATCAGACAGTTTTGGTTATCCCAGCTCACTGCTGGTAGAGGTGTCATTCCTTGGAGCTGGAGGTGTTCTGGAATCCTATGTGAGTTTCATTCCATGTGTCAAAATCCTGGGGAGAAAATATCAGAATCCCAACACCTGAAGTTGAACTGATTTACTTTGATTCAAATATTCACCTACGGTAGATTGTTACTATAAAGATCCCTCCAGGAAACCATGTCTGCCTGTATCCACGCTCTTATGTGGCCACATCTCAACAATGACTCTGGGCTTGGCTTTAAGACTTGATGTGACCAATGGGACATTAGCAAATGTGACACAAGCAGAGGCTTGAAAAGTACTTGCACCTTGGGTTTCCCCATTCCTCTTGCTATTTTTAGAACCCAGTCACCCTGTGAAGAAGCCCAGGTGAGCCTGTAAGAGGCACGCTGCTCACTGGCAGCCAATCCCACTGCAAGCCATGTTAAGTGAGCCATTTTAGACTCACCAGCTACATTACAGCCGCCAGATAACTGCAGGCCTGAGTGACCCCAGGTGAGACCTGCTTGAAAACCTCTTGGCTAAACCCATGCCACAATTCTGACTCACAGAATTTTGAGCAAATAAAACATCTGCTATTTTAGGCTGGGTGCAGTGGCTTACACCACTGTGATCCCAGCACCTTAGGAGGCTGAGGCAGGAGGACTGCTTGAGCCCAGGAGTTTGAGACCAGCCCAGACAACATAGTGAGACACTGTCTCTACAAGAAATTTTAAAAAATTGCAAAATGTGGTGATGCACACCTGTACTCCCAGCTGCTTGGGAGGCTGAGGTGGGAGGATCACTTGAGCCCAGGAAGTT